AATATAAGAATTTTTCTTTAAAAAAAATTGTGTTCATTAATTCGAAAAAGTATTTGTCATCATTATTTGTAGTGGTTGGAAGTTGGAGATGATTACAAAAAAAAAAAATTTAAATCCGTATGGAAATGAATAAGAAAGTTAAATTTATTAATTTAAATTTAATTGAGTGTCAATATTTAAATTTTTGCTTTTTTTAAAAAACATTATGAGGTCGAAAATTTTTGAAATTAAAGTTTAAATATCTAATTTATATTGACGATATTATTAAATTACGCGTCAGTAATTTTGAAAAAATATTTTAGAATTACATTAACAGTGAAATTTAAGGTACAGGATTGTGTAAGTTTGAATGGTATATTTTGAAACTGAACTTAGTCTACTTGCAAATTCAAAACTTTTATTTTCAAAGCAATTATAATGTCAATAGTTGGAATTTAAACTTATGTTCTTGGATAGGGAAATAAATATACTGTATAAAGCAAATAACCAGTTAACCCAATTATTGGTGACTTTAAACACAAACTCTAAATATCACTAAAACTCTAAACTTAAACTCTAAATATAAATCACAGTTTTAAAATGGTATAAAAAAATTTTAATATGGGTAAGTGCGGGATGAAGTTTTGTAAAATTTATGAAATATAATTTTCAATATGTTTTTTAAATAAAATTATGAATTCTAAAAATTTTCAATTTAAAAATAATTTCTGAATATTTGTATAATAACATAAAATTGTTAATTATATAAATATTTCTCCAGTTTTACAAGCTTTAACATCGCTCCTTTCCAAGATGACAGCTCCTATATTCTATAAAATTATTTTGTATAAGACTCTGTGAAAGAATAGATAGAGAAATAGGAGGACAAAATTTAAGAAGTCAGTTTTTTCAAAAAAAGAATTGGGACAAGTTTTTACTAATTTTCCCTTAATAAAATAAATTATTCATACCAATAGAAATATATTATGCAATTATGTGCATGTATTGAAAAATGTCAGCATTATAAAAACTATTAATATATGCAGACATATATGTATGTATATATATATATTATATAGATATTTTTAACCCTTTATCTCTATTTACATTTCGCTGTTTTTCTTTTAAACCTCACTTTTTCCAATCCAATTGAAAAAGGTCATTGTGCAAACAATCTGTAGATACTACGAAAATTCAGTTTTTTATTTTTTTTTTTCAAATCTATTTTAGTGGCATCTATTGGTGAATAGAAAAAATTATTAATTTTCATAAACAGTGTTTCCACATGTGGTAAATATTTTACTTTTTATTTAAAAAAAAAAATGCATAAAATGTCAACCAAATTTAATAAATTTTTTTCTCGTAAATTAGTTACACAATTTGTTTTTTAAAATTCAAAAATTGAAAATCATGATTTTATGTGAAGAAAACATTGAACACATGATACACAGTGCGACACTTATGGTATTTAAAGTAATTGCAATGTTTTTTTGACTAATTAAAGTACTCGTTTTGATTAACGTGTGCTTTTTTTCTTATTAAGTATGATTACTCAAAAAATAAAATTTGAGTACGAAGATTAATTAACGCTTTACAATTATTATTTATGATTGTGCCATTTGAAGGTTTTTTTTTTGCCTATTCAAAGTGAAAGTAATCGGAACAAAAAAAAATTAATTTTTTCTCTTTTAAATTGAGGGTACACAAACTGCTTTTTTTCGTGGTACAAACACAGTTATACATTAATTTCTTTTTTTTATAAAAAAAAATATCAAACCCACTTATAAATTTTTTTTTCAATGTTAAGGAGATTTTGAAATTATTGTTTGTTGAATTGTAATTAGGAATATAATGTTGTGCTTATAAATTTTTGTATTGGTAAATGATAATTAATAAATTCGTTATTTTGCACTAAGATTATTTTCAGAAGTTTTCAACTTCAATAAAAGCATATTATCTTCGTTTTTGTATTACAGTAGAATTACTGTAATGAAGAAAAATATTTTTGTTAATTATAAAAAAATTAATCCGCTTAGAAAAATTAATTCTATTGTTATTCCTAACTTGCCGTACAAACATCTTAAGTTATGCGTGGTTTTCCCGTTTTATTTGTTTTAAATTATAAGTATAAGTGCATTAGTATGTGCATTAGTAAGATACTAGACCTTTCTCTTTACAACCTTTAAGTATTTCAAAATATAATAAAGTAATTGTACTACTTCCAACAAAAAAAGCTCATATTTCAAAATGATTTGTAATATCAAATGAGAATCAAAAGATTTAATTTCGAAAAAATGTTGTCTGTAAAATAATATGATTGCTTTAAAAATAAAATAATATGAAATTCTAATAAATATTTTATTCATAATGACATTATTTGTCATTCTAAGAGAAATAAATAAGAGTTGTATAACGGAAATAAATCAAGAAGCACGGAAATATTGTAATAAACAAAGTAAAAGTATCAGAATATAAAAGAAAATTTTAATCGCAGTTTAAGAAATCTTTAAACCTCAAACTTTTTAGTTTTAAATGGAGTTTCAAAAGCATTTCGGCGTAAATGATGAAGTAGAAAAATTTAAATCCTATAATTTAAAACTTTAAAAGTTTACAATTCAAAGTTGCTGGAGTTTATAAATTATTTACTTATTTATTAACTCAAAATTTTTATTCGAAACCAAAACTTTTACATTCGAAATTAAAATTTTATTTGTTTAAGAAATTTATCGGTTTGCCGTTCAAAACGGTTTGGTTCGTTCCCAGTTTTAAGATTTTGTAATTTAACTTTTCAACTACTAAGTTTAAAATTTAAAATTTAAAGTTACAAATTTAAAACTGAACTTTAATAATAAAAACTGTGAAGCTTATAGTTTTAATTACAAATTTAAAGATTTAAAGTTTTTTAATTAAAAAAATTCTTATAAAATAATATTTAAACGTTTTTTGGTTTGAATTCTTCTCAAAATAAAATTATAAACTATTAACTAGCAGAAGCTCAATTATTAGTTTTAAAATTTAAATGAGAATTTGATACTATTTAGCAATACTCAACGAATATGTCCCAAAACTACTTTCAAATTATTTGAAAATGGAAACTTTGTTAAAATATGATTAAAAGACTTTGTAAATTGGTTATTTAAAGCTTAATAAATGTCAAAACTGAGGAAGTAATAAATCTTAATTAAAAAATTTATTAACTGTACGCTTTCATTTGAACTTAGGGAACGCATGTTCAAAATGTAAATTTAATTACATTATAATAATGTATGTAAACATAACAACGACCCTCTTTGTTAGCTCTTAACCATGAGAATTTTGTCTTTTTTTACATATATTTTGTATGTAATTAAAATATCATAAGAAAAATATATGTACAAATTAAAAAAAAATTAGTAAACATAAGATACGATTACAAATTGTGGGTACGTCATGAAATTTCATACTACACAATTTTTTTCTTTTGATTTTGCCAAGAAAATACAAAAAATATACTTAATAATTTTTTGGCATTTTTTGGCTTATCCGAAAAATAAAAAGAAAAAATTACATGTACAGTTAAGCAAAATAATAAACCAAAAAATTTTTGTGCAAATTTTACTTATACGTCTTCCTTTTAAGGTTCATTGAACTTTTAAATTAATTTTTTTTTTTTCTTTCTTTACTTGTACATCCGCTAAAATATTCCATCATATTAAATGTCAAAGTCATTGAAAGCAAAAAAACAATAAAAGCCGTATACATTATGTCATTTTTTTAGCACAGATTTAAAATTCATGTTTGTTATTGAATATGGTTGTACTTCACAATAAACACAATTCATAATGAACATTGTATCGGATCGGTACGTAGGTTGTACACATGTGCATATACATAGTATGAATGAACATTCTTACAATATTTATTTCTATTATGGAGCATTATATTAAATAATGATGTGTACAAAATTATAATCTACATAAAATTCATGTATACTGCATTTGATTAAATTTATTAGTAGGATGATTCTCTCTTATAAAATTTATCAAAGGAATGTTAATGAAATTTAATAAAAAAAAATGAATTAATTTATTTTGGGCGAGGAAATAAAATACAAAATTTAAAATTATAGATTTGGCGCTTAAGTATTAACTCTAAAATATTTTAAATTAATTAAGAAATTAAAATTATTATTTATTAACTCTGTGATAAATGAAAATTCTGGTTGTTTTATACCTTCTTTACAGATTGAAGTTTCCACTGATAATACGATAATTTGGAAGGCAATTTGAATTGAAGGGCTAATAAAAGTTGAACTATAGATTTTGTGAAAAAGATAGGGCACTGCTCAAATATTTAAGTTCTTAAAGCTTAAAATATTTAAATGTTTCAAAGAGTCCCATAAGTAAATGAAATTAGTAATTGAAGTTTCTGAATATAAAACTATAAAAGTGGATAATGAATTATGCAAAACTTGGAAAGAACGTGATGTTGAAGATCAAATTGTAAATAAAACATAAAATTGTATATAAAATTGTTGAAGAACATCAATTCAAACATATTTTACAAATTTTTATTCTCAAAATGACTTGTCACCAAAATGAAACCTTTTCAATATGCAGTGAAATACGTATGTGAAAAATTTTAAAATGATCCAATAATATAGTTTTTCTCCAATTGAAGTGATTTTAGCTTTCAAACTTCTTTTTAAAAAATTATATTTCAATTTAATATGAATGAAACTTTACTAAATTTAGTTAAAACAAATCAACAGTAATCTGAACTTTATAGATTATAAACTTGCAAGAAAGAATAGCCATAAAACGCGACCTAAACAGAAGATTTACTGAACTAATAAGGCTATACTGTAAGGCTATCTCTCGAGACCATTGTTCCAGATCAACTAAAATATCTTATGAGAATCGAATATAGTACTTCTTAGTCCGAGACGAAGTAGATGCCTTAAGTTGTCTAAATCTTACATTTTTAACTTAAACTAAAAGTAAATTAAAATATTTATTTATTTTATATAAATAAATTCTTACCTCTTCTGCAACTTTTTCGCATTCACCATTAACAGCTGAAGTATTTGCATTTGCTTCTTCTTTTTTTGAGGGTTTTTGTTTATCTTTTCTACCAAATGAAATACTTCGGAATGACCATTTCTTTTTAACTTTCTCTTTTTTAGGTTTTTTACTGCTATTTTCTGGTGTTTCAGATGTAGTTGATTCACCGGCAGTTTTTGAATCATTTAAAGTTTCATTAGCATCTGTAGATTGTTGTTGTTCGGTATTATTAGTTGCTGAATTGGCAGTGGTATTTTCATTGGCAGTGGGTGTTGTTACTGTTTCTGCTGTTGCTACTGCTACATCACCACCAGCACCGGTATCAGCAGGAGATGATGCTGTTGGAGTAGAAGAAGCACCTTCTTGTGATTTTTGATTTTCTTTTTCTGTTGATAAATCTTTTTCATTTTCGGTTTCCCCATTTTCAGTAACTTTTTCTTTTTCCTAAAATTAGAAATAAAAAGGAAAATAACATTATTAAATTGATTTTTTCAATAATTATAATATAATTTATTTTAATATTCTGAACAATAAAAAATTTAGGGTAATAAAAGTATCATTATGTGAAAATATTAAATGGAGAACAAATTTTAATAATTTACAAATTAAAGTTGATAAATAATAAACCAATGGTTAAGTACGCCATCCAGTTAGTTTTAATAAACTTATTTGAGTACTTTATTGGCTATAACTTCTATTAATATTTTATTTCTGCAGTCTATACCTCTATCCACATTATACAAAAGTATGAAATTTTATTTTATTTCATATTGTTTTACACTCTAAGCGCTATATTCAAATCGCTGTGATTTGATGAGTAACGCTAAAGAACTGAAATGAAAATCAAAACTTTATATTGTGACACCCTCCATCAAATCAGCGAATCAATTTGCATAATTAGTTTTTAAGCAAATTTTTCCTTATTTATATTGACTAATTAATATTGAAATATAGATTTAATAAAATTTTTTCATTTTAATTGCAAATAATGAACGGATGTGCATAATTAATTCCACAATTTCGAAATTTCTTTATGCAACGAAAATTTCTGAAATATTTTTCAATTTAATTGAATAATTTTTCGTAAAATCTTTTATATTACGAAATTATAATATATTACGAAGGATTATCTACCTATTCAACACCTATTCAACGTAAAGCGTTACTTAATTACTAGATTATAACTCTTTTTTTTTATATTTAAATAAAAAATCATTTCACATGAGAAACCAACAGAAAACCATTTTTTAATTTTTTGTTTCTTTTAATCTATACTAATGGTTTGAATTTTATTTTTTAAATACACATTCTATTTATTTCTATAGAATTTTATATTGTGCTGTTGCCGCAAAACTTTCTACTACCAACTTTATATGGGCACCTATAGGTATAGATAGAAAAAAAAAAATGCCATTAAAATTTTTCCATGAAAAAGGTAGCTGTGTCGTCGTAAGCCGTGCTATGTATTTGAAAAGCAAAAAATGTTTTTTTATTCTGTTTTTCATTAATTTCTCATCATCACTGAATCATCTGGCACAAAGAACTATAATTAAATAGAAAACGTTTTTTTGCAATAAAAATCACTATTAACCCAGTTTCACTTCCAATGTATTAACAGATTAAAAACCGAAATGTGAAAAAATAATAGTAAAAAAATTGCAATTGTAATTTTTATATTTCACAATGTTTGCGAATTAATTTGAATGTAGACGAAACATTTCTCGTATTTTTTTATGTTTTTTCTTATTTTTATTTTGTATAAAACAAAACAGAACCGTCAAACAATTATCTGAAGTTTCATAATTGTCATTTTTACAGGTAGGCACCGCATTTTATTTTTTTGTTTTTTTTCTTCATTATTTTACCGGTGTTATCTTAACTAAAAAATCTGTTGTTATTCTGTAATTTTATGCCCGTGCACAACAAAAAATAATGCTCGCATAAAATTATTCGAAAACTGTTGACAACAATAAAAAAAAGCGTTGATCCAAACTAATATAAGATAATGTGAATTTTTTCCAGAATGTTTCTATGATTTTTCAAATTTTCCAAAATGGTTTACACAGACTAAGGTAATAAACAAACTATAGTTCGAGGTTGGAAAGATGGATCTGATTTTGAAAAACTCAAACAAATTAAGGAAAATCAAAAAATTTAGGGATTTACAAGCATGTACAATATTTCAAAGGTTTGTTACAACTTGAATATAATAAATAATAATAAATACAAATAAGTACTTATTGTACCTACTTAAAATTCCTAGGAGTGTATCCACAAATTACACTTATCGGAAAGAACTATAAAAAAAAGTTAAATGAAAACTGAAGCGGTATCTCTTGTTATTTATGAAAAATATATTTTAAAATTATTTAATATAATAATTTCCACATTTATTGTGCTATTATAAATATTAAAATGAATTATTAACCTAATTCAAAAAATTAAAAAAAAAAATAATAAAATAATTTTGAAATAAAAAACGAAACATAAAAATAAAACGAATTTTATGGAAAAAAATTTTCGGCATAACCGACTTGTGTTTTTTTTTTGGTTTTTTGTACGAACTGAAATGTTTTCCCATGACTTGAGTAAGTATAGATGCCTAACTAGATTTTTTAAGATCCTTATAAAAAAATCAATAGCCAGAGAAATTCTAACTTATGATTTTGATAAAATTTACACGGAAAATTTTATTTGGAAAATTTAATTTTGTCCTGATTGTCTAAAACATTTCTCATTTAACAAAATTTTCCAATTTACATAATTCGTTCTCATCAATAAGTGATAAATTCCGAGATCCTATAAAAAACTCATATTTCTTTTGATTTTTTTTTTTGGAGATGCAAACTGTAGTCAAGAGTAGAAGTGCAAAAATAAAATTTTGTTTAAAACTATTGTTGCCATGTTCATTAACTAAAATAATTTTTATGTAGAAAATTTAATTTATTTTGCTATTATGGACAAAATTAAATTTCTTATAGTTCATTTTTATTTTTTAATTTCTTACCTTTAAAATAATAAACAAATTATATCAAAATTATTATTGGTGCCCATACTTGATTATAAACCAATAAACCTAAGACTTTAATTAAGGAACAGATATCAAGTGCATATTTTAAATTGAATCTTTGAAAATTATAGCTATTGTAGCCGTAAATAATATTTGTTGAAAATTAAAGAATAAAAAATTTTAAAGATTGATTTAAGTACTTTTAATTTAAATTTTAAAATGAGACAAAACTAAAAAAAAAAAATAACATAACATGCAATTTTTGAATAAAATTGCAAAAAAAAACTAAAGTAATTTCGAATTCAAATCGAGAACTTGTACTTCGATCTTATAATCTTTGCTTTTTGTTTTTTATTTCTTTTTTTTCATTGTATTTACAAGTTTTATATTAAAATCGAAAAAGTTCATCAAAAGTCACCAACTTTTTTCCCCGTGCACAAAACATGGTATACGTTAAGTATGACTTTTTTTTCATTTCTGCATTGTATTACATTTGCATTGTATTGATATAGTGATCAGTGTAATTTTCATAAGATTTATTTATTATTCTAAAATGAATTTGGTTTTATATACAACAATTCTTACAATTTATTGTATTTCTTTTTTTTTTAATATAAATTATTAAGTTATTATAGTATATATCGCACCTATGGAGTAATACTGCTGCAACATGAAATATCGCAAAAGTTCAATATAGTGACGCTAAATGCTGCGAAATAAAGTAGTGGCATCATGTTTTAAAATAGTTTTTGCATTGATGTAATTCGGGTAATGTTGTAATTCTGTTTGTGGATTATTATATAAATTAGGTTTTTTCCAATGAATTTTCATATATTAATATATTATATATTAATTATAAGAATTCTTACTTTGCCTCAAAAACTGTGCCACATTTCGAATTAGTACGATTTCTGTCTACTATTAATTAGATCTTTTTTATTTACGAACAATTTAAAAAAATTTTTGAAATTAAAATTATGCAAAATTAAACCGTTCATGTATGGAGATTATTTGATTCTTGCTACAAAAGAAGCTTTAGAAGAAAAAGAAATGTGAGAATGGAAGGTGACTATATTTTTATTGTGACTACAGATTTTATGAAAATTTAAGTAGTTTTAAAGTTTAATTTGGTTCATTTGTTAAATTTTTTTAAAAAATACTAAAAAATAAATTGCAAATTTAAAAAAAAAATGTATTCACTTTAGTAGACGCTTTTTTCACTCAATATTATATTGAAAAATCAACAAGTTAATTTAATAAATAACTATTATTAAAAATGAGTTACTTTTAAATTACTTTTAACCAATTAAAATGTGGGAATTGTCATTTTAATCATCTTAAAAAATACGGCAGCTTTGTAATATCTTAAAAATATTAACAATCATTTGAAACAATTTTGGATTGCAGATTTTTGACATACGACAGTGTTATTTGGTAGGTGCAATGTCTACATGCCTGTACTTAGTATAAAAATTGTTTTATATTAAGTACAATAGGAATAGAGTGTGCAATATGCAATATGCTTTTAATTCAAAATTCAAAATATTAAAATATTGAAGTGTTTCGTTTTGTTAAACTCATAATATTGAATTAAAGTAAGTAACACTTAAAAACCTAAATAAATTGAGAATTGAAAAGAAACATTCGAAACATGAAAAAAGAAGGCAAAAAGAATACAACACGAAAATATTTTTTATTATGTGATGGCCTTCAATGGCTTTTCACAATCTATAAAGTTAAAGCACCCACTAATCTTCCCTCGAAACCATCCTATCTCTCACACTTTCATTATTCACAACTAAATAACTAATTGTTAATTCACTTTTTATTCTTTTTCTTTTTTAAATTAAATAACTTAAAAATCAAAAGAAAAAGTGAAGATATGTAGGTACTTATATTTTTTTTATATTTTGTATATTAAAATTATTATGTATTTGTATTTTATGTATTATATCAAAAAAGAAGAGGAATTAAAGAGATTTATTTAAATTTATTTTATATTATTCACATTTTATTTTTATAAATTTGAGCTATACGCAATATAAAATATAAAATAAATAAAAATTATAAGTGTTGGATGATATGAATTTCAATTAGGCACAATAAATCATTTTATATTTTTGCTTTTTGCGTTTATAGAAAGCAAAAATGAACTTATTTTGAACTTATCCCAATAAAGAAGAAGAAGATAATGTAAAAGTTATTTATGAACATTGTATGTATGTTTCATTACATATAAACAGTGTCAATCAGGAAATAAATGACATGATTGCAAAATAATGAATGTACAATTATTAAGAGAATAAGCATAGAGTATGTACACTTAAAATAATTTTATATTGTATACGAATAACATAAAATATTTAATTTAATTTCTTAAAAAAACTGCAGTAGATATTTAAATGATGTAAAATTTACGTTTACAATTCACGTACAATTAAATTGAATTGAATGCAAATTAAATAAGTGTACAACAAAAAAAAATAATAAAAAATGGAAAAGAAAACCTCCTATATCTTTTTCAATTAAACAATTTATGCAGTTATCTAAATTTTATACAATCAATTTGACATTTTAAAACGTTTTCAAAGAAAGAAAACATTAGTATGGGTTTTTTTGAAAGCAAGAATTTAAATGTCAGTTATTTGTTTTTCACATAAACTTATTAATAACGAAAACTAATCTGAAAATTAATTGTTTAAATATAACTAATTTCAGCTTGAATACTTTAGTGGAAGATTTCTTCTTCATTATTAATAAAATTAATAAAATTAAGAAAATATAGAAAAGTTTACATATTTATGCATGTTCTTCATACCGGTCGCTGTAAATTCCTTTGTGTATGAAAATTTCACCGTCTATATTTGACATAGAAAACCTTTCCAAATTTGTTCACTCACACATTTCGGAACAGTATAATAGAAAGGTACATTATTTAAAATTCAGTTTTAAAGCTTGATATATGCAAAAATCCTTAATATTTTTGTTATTTAACAACTAATCTTAATAATCACATATCATAAAAAATAATATCTTAATTACAAAAAATTTAATAAGTTCCACTTTTTTAAAATTAAAATAATTACGTTTATAGCAAGAGGTATAAAAAATAATTTGAATAACCATACTGAAATAAATGTCGATGATTTTAAACATCGACATTTATTTAAGCATGAACTAAAACTTTAAATGTATAATTTTTTTTAAACAATGTCCTATTTATTTAGCTACACATATTAATAAGAAAAGATAATCAATCCAAATTAGTGACAGATAAAACAAAGTATAAATTAACATTTTTACTAAACAATGTCATATTTATTTAGTGTATCAACTGTGTATTTTATCATCAAAACATTTGATGATAAACATGGAAAACACATTATGAAATGACAAATCAATTATAATAATTTTATAGAGAAATATAATGGAGACAAGAAATAAAATTTAGAATAAAATAGTAAAAACAAAAATTTATTGAATTCTTAGAAAATTCAAAATTATTTCTATTTCAAATTCATATACAGATGTACATAGTGTAGGAATGTGTAAGAAATTTTAAAATTTAAAGAATTCAGACATCTTGTTAGTCATAAATGCCAAATTCAATTATTCAGAATATTTGAAATTAAAAAGAGAAAAATATATTTGAGAAATTTCACTTTCAATACAATTTTTTTTTACATTTTTCTGATATTCTGTTCACAACTTAAAATAAGTGAAATAATATTTCTTTAATTGTTAAGTCTCCTTATAAAAAACATGCAAGAATTTTACAACAATTAAAGAAAAATTTCGATCTTAATAATTAATTAAAATATTGATTGACAGGCAATGATAAATAAAAAATTTAATTTTAAATTTTAAAAGATAACAATTTTTTATATATTTATAAATTTATTCCCTCTTTTTCATGTTATTTACTTTTAGAAGTAAAAATACAAGATCTAGAATCCTACTATTCTAAAATTTGCATAAATACGAATTTCTTAAAAAAAATCATATGGCCTCCTTTCTACTACTGCGCAGTGTCTTTAATTAAAACACAAACGTAAATTCTTTTCATATGTTCGAGAATTTAAAAAAGAAAAAATTTTGTATTCACATCACAATTTCAATTGATTTTGAAAACAAAAAAATTGAATTCGATTTAAAAAAATATCGAAATTTATTTAAAAAAAAATTTAAATATTCCCAATGTTATATAAAATTTATACATAATTTATTATTGAATAATAAAATATTATGTAAAATTATTTTAAGAACTAAATTTTAATTATACTCGTAAAAACAAACTTACTTCATTTTCATTGTGGTGTGTGTCACCATTAACCTGTGGTTTTAACTGATCAACATCTTCAATTTTTTTCATTTCGCCGGTACCTTCATCAACAGTTCCATCCTTTTTCGGATCTGTTGTAATATCTACAGATCGTTTACTTTGAGCTTTACCCATTTTTTATTTCTTTTTTAAAATTAATTGGTTCGTTTATAGTGTTTTTTTTTGACTGTTAACTTTTGTTTATTATAAATTCTTCGTTTGGAATTTTTTCAATATTATAATTTAAATGTTATGTATAAAAAAATCTGTAATTAAAAAATATAAAAAATTATTAATATTTTAATAATTTAAATATAAATGAAATTTATGTTTATTTATATAAATTAATAATTATATTTTTAAGCAATATAATAATTCCATCAAGAAAGATATCTAAGTTGCATATACACATGTGTCTAAATTTATTATATACTACGGCCTCTTTCAGATATATTTAGTTAGTTTTGTTTAAATATTTAATTAGATATTTAATTAGCCTATTATCCAGAGTACGCAACAAAATATTATCTTAATTTAGTAAAATATTTAGAGAAATTTTTACACGTTTGTTAAATTTCTTCTTACTTTGAGCTACTGTTATTATACGTTTTCAGTAACATGAACTCAAGAATTGCATGAAATTAAATTACAAAATGTTATGCAAAATACTAGAAATTTAATGTTACATGCCATTCTAAATTTTATTACAATATAAAATTTTCAATAGTTTAATTTATACTCTGTTTAACGTTATAGTTAAAATACTTTAAGTACATACAATATGCATTACCTAGGTTTTGTTTGTTAAAATTATTTTGAAATATTTGTTTGTTTGCTAACCAAGTATTCACATATTGTAATTACAACCAGTGAAGTAATATGATCTAGTAGTGAGTGGAATTAACTCTAAAGTTTAAAAATTCTCAAAAATGCAACTTTTGACTTATGTCAGTGTTGCAACAAATAAGCAATATGAAAAATTAGTTTCTTAATTAGAAATAATTCAATGACGCCTAAAATTATGCAATGGACAATAGAGATTTGAAGCTGCAATGATTATGATAAAAAAATGATAATGTGTAACGGGATATTTGTAATCAATGCACCCAAACAACAATGATCTTTTTTTTGTTTTTCATTCCAAGATAACCTCTTCAATTAAATCGAATATTTCGTTTTTTCCGCTCAATATAAAATTATCTAAAATCAATAATGGTTTATAAATACATCAATTTAGAAAGTTTTATTGTAAATAACATATAATATACATATACATGTATACACATGTATATTTACCATATAAAAATAAGAAAATCTTAAAAAAAAGCCACTTAAGAATTAAGAACACAGCGCGGGACATAACAATGAAAATATCAACAACAAAAACAAAATAGTAATGAATGTGGAATGAACCGTAAACGTGAGTGCTTCATAGTTGAATAGAAATGCCTGCAAAATTGATTGCATTAATGCGCAACATCATCACCATTATAAGTGCAATTCCCTCTTAAATTTTTAATTTCTTTCATTTTTTTACAATTTATAAATAGTTTTTCAATTTAATTTTTTTTTAAATTTTTTATTGTAGTCCTATAATTAAATTTCAATTCTGTTTTTGTTTTTTTCTTCTTTTTTTATACTTTAAGTACAAATACACAATTTACTTAACTTATGTGTAATATTGGCGTCAATTAAATTGCAAAAAAACATTTTTAAGTGATGGAAACTTCCTTATCTTAAACATTTAACACAATAATCAACATAACAGCATAGCAAGAAAAAGGAAATTTAATTGAATGCTATTTATTTTATATTAATATAAATGTGTGTGTGTATTAGCATGACAGAATAAAAAGATGATGTCGAACAATTAATTAAACTTCACACATACACACTTACATATATATTTAAAATTATTTGTCATGAAACATATGAGAAGTGCTGTACTTATAAAATGATTAAAGAAATGATTCAAAAAATTGACAGCAAATTAATAAAAAATAGATACACACATTTATTTATACATTTCTCGTTTGTATTTTTCAATATTTAATTTCCTTTCAAACAAAGTATTAATTTATTTTTTGACTAGCTTAATTGAAAAATGAAAAAAAAAAAATACGATATCACTAGGAGATCGGAAACTATCAATTCAAAATTAAAAAAAAAACAAGAAAAAGTTGGAAACAAAATAACTTTCACCACCCACACAATTTCCTAAAATTCAGAATTTAATTCTCTTACAGAAATTACTATAAAACTTTCACATAAACTCTAATATTCGAAATAATTATTTTCTTTTAGTAGGATACACAAAATTTCCCAAAAAATGAAAATTGAAACTTTGTACTGAAAATATTTTTTTTACCAAATGGAACTCAGGAAAATTAAGAAAATATTTGGAAAACTAGTTAAATATCTCTTCTCAATCATTATCAAAAGTAATTCATAATTATTATATTATTTAATCTAATAAAGCTGTAACGTAATTTATATTCAAAACTCAAAGAAATTCAGATTTATCTAAATTTAAAATATGAAAATCAGAAGACAATATGCTCGTAGCAAAAATGATTTTTGTCTTTAAATTTATTATAGTCTTAGACAAAATTTATTTACATTTGAAATTTTGAAATTTTTATTATCAAAATTAAAACTTCTTTCAAAATCAAAAAAAAATTTACCGTTAAAATTAGGATACGTTAAAAATTTAAGGGCATACAATTGGCATTACAGTCTCTTCAATCATAACAAGGCCAACCATTTTATAATTAAAATTCATGTTTCATTTTATTTTTATTTCTCCAAAGAATTCAATAATTGACTAATCTATAATTACAACTTCCAAAGGAACTCCCATTTTTTTAAATTAATGTTATAGAAATAAGTAAATGTTATGTTAACTAGCATATATATATTTCACTCTCACTTCAGAATCTCTCAAAAACTAGATAAAAAAGTAGTTTTAGAATAATCAGTAATATAAAAATTTAAAAGTCAGAAAAAGAATTTCAATTTAAGTAAATTTCAAGAATTAAATATCCACTTAAACATTCATATAATACTCAGAAATTTTCTATTTCAAATATACTAGTAAATAATTTAAATCACTTGTTTTATTTAATTATTTTTTCTTTTCTGAACTACTTTACTACTTCTGATAAAAATTTAGTAATAATTTGAACAAACGCACTCTATGTTTTATATGCAAGTACTAAAATACATGCCATTTACTAAATTATTCAAAAATATCTTGCAATTGTAACCTAATTAAAGTAAGTGCAAGTATAAGTATACGTTATGAATGTACTCACATTATTTATTTATAATATGTACTTGCACCTACATAAAAATACACAAATGAATCATAAACCGCGTACAACAATTTTACGTGTACATATGCCTAAATATAAATACGCCAGTATTTATGTGTATGCATTATATGTGCATGTTGTGTATTTTAGTTTATCAGAAGAAAAGAGCTTTTTTTTTAAATTTAATTCATGGACATTGAATTAAATCTTGATAAGAAAATTTATTTTAATTTTTATTTTTTTTTAATAAATTTAAAAAACAACATTAAACATTTTGGAAATTTTATTGAAAAAAATTAGTAATCTGCATCACTCCGACAATTTTCCCAATGACTATTACAATTTTCAATTGTGATAATATGAAATTGAATAACTAATTATGACACAAAGGCAAAGTAATTATTGTTAGAAAATTGGAAATTCTTTTTGTGAATAATAAATTAGAAATTGTTCTTGACAAAAGTGAATCACTACATTTCCATTTGCATTGTGTTTTCTATCTTTTGTATTTGTTTTACTGCTCTTTCTATTGGCAGTATTTAACCGCTGTAATTGTGATACACACGTACACAATACGTTCAAAAGAACAACCCTTATAACTTTTCGAAGAAATTAACTATAATCAATGTTACTCTTACTGATTACAATGATTCACTAAAAAAAAACCAAAATAAAAAAAGAAGTATGAATGAATCATTTCTACGTTTTTGTGACCGATTTTTTAATAGACTGACAACAAAAGAAAAATAAAATAGTAAACAACAACAAAATAATCAAGTCCAGACTACGATTACTCCAATTAACAAATCATTTCAGAATGAAAATTCAGAAAACAAAAACTTTTAAAGTCTATTCGCAATTAATTTTAATAGATTTGTTAGAAGACATTTCAATTTACTTTGGTGTGTAATCAAATTTTGCAAAGTATTTATACTAAAAGTACTTGTTTATTTTTTTCCCTGCTTTTCAATCTACATTGTAATTATATTTGAAACGATACGAATACCCTAGTGTGATTCACAAATGTTTGTTTGTTTACACAAATATTTTAGACATATTTTTTTCTAGCTGAATACCTAGCTGAATAAATTATGTAAAAAATAATTTTGTTATTTCAGTTGTTAAAAAAGTTTTGCAATATTTTGTACATTTGAAATGTTTTTTGTTTGACCAATTAATTTTGAAGAAAAAAAATTATTTTGTATAAAAAAATTAGTGAGTAACATTATAAGGTCAAATTTTACTCGTATTTCGTTATAGATTCTGATTCAACATCTCTGATGAAAGCAATGATTAGTGGAACAAATATGAAATTGAATCAGGAAAAGCAACCATTTTCTTTGAAGAAATTCCGCAACTATGATGTTGTATTAGTAAAATTCATAATATAATTAGTGGAATAGGCACTATCCTATAAATATATATGTTCTTGTTATTGTGTGTTTCAATGGATTGTATGTAGCAATCAATGTAAACAAAAAACAAATACTTAGTAATCATGTGAATTACAGTATAAAAGCAATGTAGAGAACATTTCGTCGGCAATTTCTTCATGCCTCTGTAGCTCAGTTGGTAGAGCGTCCGCTTAGAAAGCGGTAGGTCACTGGTTCGAGTCCAGTTCGAGGAGAAAAATTTTTTTTAATGAATAATTTTTCTGCCTTTAACTCGTTCCTTTGATTACGTCATCCATCTGTTCTGCAGTTGCATGAAGAAATTTCCATTAAGATCATTTTTTCAGATTGAGCATTAATAAAAATATATACATACATGTTCATATTGCAGACCACTACTTCAAATTTTGTTTAAACAAAAGTTAGGTAAAAACTTCATACCAAAGTTACTGCATACTGCATGTATGTACATATACCTTTCTTTAAGATATAAAAATATGAGTAAACAGTATGCCGTTGCATTAGGGATTTCTGAGAATATTAGAAAAAAAAAATCTGATG